TGCGGAGGTGCATTTTGCCCCATTTGCCTCCCGGCCCGGCGGCGTCACTTTACGGCGGTACCCTGTCCACAGGCGGTGGGGTTTTCCATGGGGGCTAGTTCGCCTAGTTTGGGAGTATACGTGTGCCGGGCTCTGTTGCGCCGCCCACTTCTGTTTTTCATGCGGGTGGATTGGGTAGCCGGCATCATTGTGCACCAACATGATAAGATTTGTTGTGTTTTTTTTTCTCATTTTCTATGGTTTTTCGAGGGTCTTGGATGTTACTGGGGGTCTCGAGGCTGTGCATAAACTGGTGACGTGGGCGGTGGGGGCTTCAACGTGATCGGCGGGGTGCTGGAATGTGGTGCAGGAGGGGTGGGGGGGTTGGGGTAGGCGCGGGCCGGGTGGTAGGAGTGGGGTGGGTTTGGGCATGGGGGGAGTGGGGTGCCTCCGTGTTACCAGGGGGGCTTTTACATGCTAGGGCCCCGTATGTGTTGAGGTATCGGCCGCCCTGTTACCGCGCTGGGATGTGTGCCGGGGCCAGCGGGTGCTGCTCTGTGGTGTTTGTTTTGTGGGTGGGGCGCCGAGGCATGGCGGGAGAAGGTGATGCGGCATGGGCTTGGGGGGGTCGTGGGGGCGCACCCACACACACAGTGAGTATGCGTTGGGTGGAGGCGTCACTCGGTACACCTCTGCGAAACAGGGGTTGCTGGGGTGGCGTACTGCGGGTTGAGTTGGTTGTAGCGTGCATGCCTGTGGGGCATGTGTTTCATGGTGGTGGTGCCTGCTCGAGCGGTCATGTGATTCTACACATGGCTCGGCTTTGAAGTGCTGCACAGGGGCGCTGCATGGTTGGCGGTGGGGCGTGGCGCTGGGGCTGGGGCGCGTTGGGTGTGGATAGGGGGTTGATAGGTGGGTTCTTGGGCGAGGTTCACGGGGTCCTTGCTAGGTGTTTGGTAAGGTAGGCGGTAGTGGTTGCTGGGTTTAGATTTGGGTTTTGGTGCAGCATTGTGGGAAGTTATCATGATGTTCTGTGGTTCGCATCGCCCGGGCGCTGTCTTATTTAGGACTGGGGGGGTGGTGGGGATGTTGGGAGGGCGAGTACCGAGTGGGGGTTTTGCTTTCTGTCGCTGCATAACTCAATGTCTGTAGGTATGGGGGGGGGATGTTTGAGTGGTAGGTATTTGGTACTCACTTTTGGGCTATTAGGGCGGCGGGGTGCTGTGTGGCGTGTGCAGGTGGGACTTTGGTTTTGGGACTGCACTGTGGGTTTGCCGACATGGGCGTTTGGATACGCTTGTTATGTCTTGTATTAACATAATATTCTTATCTGAGGTTGGGTTCATATTGGCCTCTACAGCAGTCAGATGGAGCGGCTTCTGGCTATGTAGCGCTCTTGGGATAAGGGTCATTGTACTGGTTAGACGTTGGACTTTGCCTTTCCGCGAGCCTCAATAAGATTGATGATCATAGGCTTACAAGACCTTGCATGTTATGTTATATCATCTCTTGGCTTTCCAGCCTGCGTTTGCTATGTAGCTTGGAGATAAGGCGAGAGATTTGTTTGTCTTGGCGTTAAAGCGTGCGTCCTCCCGACAGGGGGGATCCGTGGGGGTGTGGGGCAGGGAGGTTATGGCTAACGGAGCCTAAGGGGCGAAGAATTCTTTTTTTTGCTAGCCGCGTATGGTTCTTTTCCTTTTTATTATGGACGCCACTTCCTACGGAAGATTTCTTAGTGTATTTTTGTACTCATATTTAGTTTTGGTTGTGGCCTGCGCTCGCGTTATTAGTTTTTAGTTGGTATTGTTGGGTGTCTTGCTGGTGTGTTGGATGGGGGCCCGGTCTCGGGGTGGTAGGGTCTATGGGATTGCGGCTGCGGGATGGGAGACATGGAGGACGGGGGGTGGAAGGTTCTGGTTAGTGTGGCTCTTCAGGTATCCGGACGGGGTGGGGGGTTTTAGGTGTTGTGGGAGGGTTAGGGTTGTTGTTGAAATGTCTGGGCTGGGACGGGTTTTCAGTGATGGGGTTGGGGTTGTCCGACCGCGTTCCGGTTTTTGTATGGTGGGTTGGATGTTGTTGATGTTGCCTGGTGATGGTGTGATGCAGGGTTCGGGGCAGTCCGTATGGCGCGTTGGCGGTTTTAGTACGTGCGGTGGTCGGTGGGGGTTTGGGGGGTGGAGGTGTCTACATGGAGGGATGGTTGAGGCACTTCTGACTTAGCATCGGATTGCCGTGGCTGTGCGGTTGTCCTGGAGGGGTTTGCGGGGATGGGTAGTTTGTACACTTGGTCAGGGGTCTACACGGGGTCGGCTAGTGGGGGGCATCGCCCCTTGAGAGGGGTTTGGTGGGAGCTATACTCTGGGCTTTAACTGTCGGGTGGGGGTGATGTGCTGGAGGGCGTGTACGGGAGGCGGTAGGTGGAGTTGCGCAGTTGAGGTTGGGCGATAGGTGTGCGCGTTTGGCGATTGGTATGTGGCATACGGGTTTGGCCAACTTTGGGGCAGGCGCAGCATGGGCTTCTTGATTGATGATATTTTGTTCGGAATGGGACTTTTATTGGGAAAGGAGGGGCGGTGTTTTGTTTATTGTGGGTTTTGATTGGTCTATGTTAGGGTTGAGATGAGTTGTAGCGGGATGGTAGTCTCCGTTTTTGGCAGGGTGGGTTACGTGGGGCGGGTGGGCTGCTTGTATTTATGGGGGGTTGGTTGGTGGTCGTATGGTGGTTATTGGAATGATATGTGGGTATAGGAGTGTTTGTGTGTTTTGCCTTTCTTGTGAGGATGTTTCTACCTTTGTGTGTGTTACGTGTTATGGGTATGGACTCGTGGGGGTATGACGCTGTTGCATAACATAGCTTGTCATGATTCTTTTTCTGTGCCCTTCGCAAAAAGAAGGAAAAAAAAATGAAAGAACTAAAAATAAATAGCCAAGAGCCCTACTCCTTAGGAATTGTCCTCTTCCTTTGCCAAGAAGTTTCCAGTGTTTGTTGCTGGAGAAAAGTCCACAGTTTTGTTGAGGGGGAAAAAAGGGATATTAGCGATAGATTAAAAGGCCCACCGTGTCGCCGCCGTTGGTTCTTGCAGGAGCTCAGGGCTGTTTGTATGTTTTATGGTTGGAAACGAGACGGAACAGACATTAAAATTTTATCTATGGGCTAAGTCTCGATATTCCCCCGCCCCTCCCCACGACTCATATCTTGCCCCGTTTGTGTTAACTTGGTTTGGATGATCATAGTTCTGGTGTTCGGATTGTGGATATCCTTAGGGTTATTTGCGGTTAACCCTTGTGGCGACTGAGGTTTTTCCGCTAAAGAGCAATTGTGAATTTATTTTTAACTTCTTGTATGTGAGTATAGACTCTGGTAGGAATGGTGTGTCTTCTGGTGCTTTTGATAGTGTCATTCTTATTGGATTCCATGTCCATGTTACCCTCACGGTGCGCATCCCCCTATTCTGCTGCAGATAGTGGTTATGTTGTGTTGGTGGTGGGCGGGGGGGGTTCGCTCGAGTGGTCCCCCAACATAGGTGAAAATTACCTGTTATGATGCTTGACGGGGGCGTTGGTTCAGATGTGCGGCTTATACAATCGGTGGTTCTGCGGCTTTGCCCCATCCGTTGTCATCGGGATGGGTTGTGGCGGCGTCGGGCCTGACGAATTAGTGCTCGGTCCGGAGTCTTCTCTGTGAGTAGGCTTGGTTAGACGCCAACTGACAGGTGGCGTTTCCCGTTTTAGTCTGCGGATCACGTAGTATAGCAAGGATCGCCGCCAGCAGAAGCAGCAGAAGAATGTCGAGCGATTGGGATTCAGGTTGGACCCCAAGTTGCTTCGTACTGGACCACCTCTGGGCAGTCCGATGCTTCAGGTGGAGGGGTGGTCGGCCATAGGCACCCCATGCGTGGGATGCCGTGGGGTACCAATCTGGAGCTCGAAACCTGGCGGGTCCTCAAACAGAGTGTGATTGGATACACCCCTGACCCTTGGGAAGGGCCTGGTTTGGTTATTGTGTTGTATTGCGCTTTAGGATGGTGGTTCGCCTTGTGCTTGGTGCATAGTTCAGTGAGCAGCAGGGGGTTGGTCGCTGTTGTACCGAGCCGTGTAGCTGGCGGTTGGTAGGGCACCTGATGCGTCGACGGCACTGGTCCAGGGCACGGGTGGCGATTGTCGCTCACACGCGGCGGCCCTGCAGACGGTTCCATGATAGCATTGACGTTGATCGCTACATGTCGGGTGGGTGTAGAACGGTGTCTTTCGTTGGACGAGTGGGTGTCGGTCGTGTTAGCCATAATAGGGGTTGCGTCAATAGCTTACGGGCCACCGCACCTCTTGCGCTTGTGCGGAGCTTGGGGTTCTCTGCGTTGTTTCGCAAGCGGTTGATCTGTAATGTTATGCCACGGTCGATTCATTGGCCGCCCGGCTTCGAAGCCTCGAAAGCTGTACGCCAGGTATCGCGGTAGTTGTAGTCTTACCTCAAAGCGGACGCATTTCTCGGCCTTGGGCGCGTTGTGAAGCTTGGGGTAATGCGGGATCGTTGGATGGTCGGTCCAACTGTCGCGCGGCGTTGTCAGGGATCTTTCTTAATCTGTTTCAGTCGTCCCTCTTTGAGTGGGATCGCCGGTGGTAGAGGTAAACGCGAGGCAGGTATCTTGGAGTCTTGCGTCGTCGCCTTGTTGTCTCTTTTGTATTGTAGGGAGCTTTGACTGAGGACTTATTGTGTGAGAAAGGACGCCAGGATATGTATGCGTGTTCGACTCGGTGTTGGGCTCCAGTCAGTGTCATTAATAATCTCATTATATTCCCCTGTCGTTTTAGACTGCCATCACGGGGGATATCCGTTCTGTCCCGGTGGTCCTTGTCTTGTGTGTTTTCAGTTGCGTCTTCCATTCGTAGCATGTCCTTTTGTCATTCCGGTGCTGGAGCAGTGGGTGTCCTTGTAGTGCAACCGCATAGGGGACTGGTCATTCAACTTGAGTGTGGGCTCTGTGTCTGGGTTCATTATGGTCATTGGAGTCTGGCAGGACTTCCAGGAGATTAGCTGTAGTGTCTGTTATGGAGGTTTGTACCCCTTAGCCTGTTCGGGTTGTTGAGTCCTCTTCCATGGACCCACCAGACTCAGCTGGCCCCCCCCCCCCCCCCCCCCCCCCCCCCCCCCCCGGCCCCCCCCCCCCCCCCCACCCCCCCCCCCCGCCCCCCCCCCCCCCCCCCCCCCCCCCCCCCCCCCCCCCCCCCCCCCCCCCCCGCCGCCCCCCCCCCCCCCCCCCCCCCCCCCACCCCCCCCCCCCCCCCCCTGATCCCTTGGCGCGAAGTCATTTGCCGCGCTCTGTGACTGGGCAATAGCTTGTCCGTAAGCCAGCTACACGGTGGTATTAGTTGTTGGTTCGCTTTGGCTCCCTGGGGTGTAGGCTGATTGCTTGTTGTGAAGGGTGTTTCCCGAGGCATAGGCCATGTCCTCCGATGAGTGAGGCCGCGTCCTCGATGGGAAGGGAATCGAGCATGTATTGCATATATAACTTCGTCGGCAGACTAGGCGACGTTGTTTCCGGGTGTCTCGCCTGGAGAGTGGTATATGCGGTTGTTGGATGAGTGGGGTATTGGGAGTTGCGCATGACCCTCGCAACGATGGCCACTATCCTGTATGATAAAGTGGTTTGTAATGAGTTCGTTGGTACTTGGTACTTTATGTGGTATAGACGGGATAATCTGGTCCTTGTCAACTTATTTTTTATATTCATGGGTGGGCACTTTTATGTGTCTTCATGTTTGATCTATCTTGGCCACTGTCAAGTGGTATGACACAGGTCTGGGGTGGTGATGTGGGTTAGCGGGGTTTGCATCACATGTGGGGTCTTTGTCATGCTTCTTGCGCCAGCGGGTGCTCTGGTGGGCGGGTCTGCTCCTGTATTCTGGTTGGTTTCTATGATAACTATGATTTTTTTGACAGGGATTCTTGTTTATTTGTATGCATACTGCATTCTCCAATCACGGACTTGGACCGGCAGCCATAGTCCATTTTGAACTGGATCGTCGTAGTGTGAAGCCCTACCGGTTGAATCCCAGGGCTTGCTCGTCATTGAATACATTGTTTCCGGTTGTGTGGTCATATGCTACTTTGTTAATAGTCGGCTCGTCTTCGTATGCGGTGTTTTTTTAAAGTAGATAGCATTCCTAGTGCGGAGCTTTAGGGCTGTTCGCTTCTTGTGTATAGAGATAGTTTTGTCTTTTGGATTTTATAAATCAATTCATATATATTTTTTGGTAGCTGCTAATCTCAAACGGTGCGTACCTGAAGACTTGAAAAAACATAGGTGCCTTTGGTGTGGCCGTGATTTATGGTCACATTAATGTCCTTGTCAGGATCATCTCGTCATCTGACCCTTTCGGCTCGGGTGGTTCTCGTACATTTTTTACCATGTTTAGAAAAACTGTGTTAACCTCTGGATGGGCGGATTGGGGGACTGGTCTGGATTGTGGGGGGGGGGTCGCCATGTGTGGTTCGCGGGATCAAGCCTGGGTAGGGGGCCGTTGGGTAGTGGTTCATTTGACTTTAATTGGGTGGTTCTGGTTTGTCGGGTGTGGTCTTGGCGGGTGTGTCTTCGTATGTGGTAGGTAGGTTAAGGTAGGGTGTTTCGGGTGTGGGGGTTAAAGGGGGTTTCACTGAGGTGAGAGCGAGGGGCAGATACAGACCGGGGGGGGTCGGGGTCGTGTGTGTTGATGTGGGGGGTATTGTAGGGATACACTTGCGAACTGGGGTGTTAGGTTGGTAGTTTGTTGCTGTTGGGTGTGCTCCGACGTGATTTTTCATTCTTTTTTGGAATTCTGGGGGTGGACGTGGGGGCTGGTGTTTCCTTTATGGGCCCTCGTGGGCCAGTGCCTGGCGCGATCCCAGCGCTCCTCTAGGTCGACTTCCCTTCTTGTCCTGCTCCAGGATACCGGCCTTCCTGAGGGTGATCAGTTGGGCTTGTCTGGGGGTTGGTAGTGTTACCTTCCCGTGCAGAAGAAGGGTCTGAGGAACGACGAGGATCCTGGACAAGTACATTTTGGGTCTGGTATACACGGCCCCACCTATGGCACCTTTGTTTTCAAGTCTTCTGGGAGATAACGTTGGGAGGTGCCTGCTTTTCATATAACTATGTTTGGTCATTGTTTGATTATTATTCCGTTTTGACCACTATTAAGTGCAGCATGGCTATTGTATCCGCGGTTTTGTAAGTTATCCGTGCTAGTTGTCGAGGGAGTACAGGGTTTTGTTTCTGATGTGCGGTTGGGATTGTGTGGTCCTCGGGGGGAGCGGTGTATCGGTTATATAAATTTAAAGGACGGATTAAGGGGGCCCCTGGTACGAGCTTGCCAACAGGGTTGTTACACGGGGCGTGCAGTCGTATGTCGTTCCTCGGCGTTGGGTAGTGGACGGGGACTTTCCCTGAGGGGAGTGGAGTCTTTTAATGTATATTCCAGACGTGTCTACGGGCCGGGGTTATTGTTTGCGCGTGGGTTGGTCAGGGGGTAAGGATTGGGGATGCGTGAGGTTTGTCACCTCCCTTCCCGTGCCTGCTGTGCTGGTGACATGGGTCGTTGGATGGCGGTTTATTGTGGGGGGGTCGGATTCTGGGTTTTTCTGCTTACTTTCGGTTAGGGGAGGCATGCCGGCGTACTGGGCCCGGGCGTGGAATTTTGGTTTGTCTCAGGGGTGTTTTCCAGGTGGTTTGGTTGGGGGGGACTTGGGCGGGAAAGACAGGTATTAGGGGGGGGTGCTTTTTTGGCTTTAGGTGTAGGATGGGAGAGGCAACGAGGGTGAGGGCCTGGGCCGGGGTCATTAGTGCATACTGGCCGGAGGTGTGGTTTTTGAACTGGGTCACTTGCTGTGGAGGGTCGGGACATTGAGAAGGGACACCGTGACTGCTCCCGGAGCCCAAACTCCACCGCCCGGTTCCGTGAGTTCCATCTACCGATCCACCCCCCGACCAGCCACGAGGTGCGGAAGTAGGCCTGACCTGCCTGGGGTGGGTTCTGATGCTGGAGCACCGTGACACATGACAACCCCCACCCTGAGGTCGAAGAATACGAGCAGCGTCCCCCGGGATGGTAGGCGCTGCCTCACCGGGACTGCAGAAGTTCTGCTGGTTGTTGTAGGATTCCATTGGGATCGCACGCCAGACGTGGTGGTCCCGTACACGAGATCGTAGAAGGTGCCTGCGCGCGCCTGAGGCTCATGATTGGGCATTATGTGCCCCAAACGCTGGAGGCAGCCCCCAATGTTTGGCTCGCGGCAGTGCCATCTGGTGAGGACTCAACTGAGCGAGGAGAGGGCGGAAGGGGGTTGTGCGGCACGCCAGGATTATCATGGTCGTTTTGCCACCGAACCCGCGATAGCGGGGCGACTAGATCCTCCAGATTCCTGGTACACTTCTGTTTGGATCAGGGTACTGACTGCTAAGACCTCCATTGCACCAGGCGGGTCGAACTGTCTTCGCTCTCTCCGAGCTTCTATACTATGTGGTTCCGACTACTGGCCCCCGCCTAAGGTGGTGGGGCTCGGCCCCTACTCCTACCCCCCACTTGGGCAACCTTCCTTTGCGCATTCCGTTCTTAGGACTTAAGGTAGGGTGGTCGTGCGGTCAGGGGGCACATGGGTGGGACGCGGCAGGGATTTTCTACTCCTTGTCTTGGGCTTCCCCGGGGTCATGTGCACAGGGGGACACTCTTCGGGTGGGATTGGAGTTTCTTTGTTTGGGGGGGGGGTGTGGGAGTGGCTCGGTCCGGCCCCCTGGTACGTGATCATCTCATATTTTTTACTCGCTGAGCGATCTCGCGGGCTTTGAGGACAGCGGCACAGGGAGCTATCGGGGTGCCCACGCTGCTAGCGCACAGTATTGCTATTGGGTACTATCAAGCGTACGTACGTCAGGTCGCGGTGAACGGTATGAACCGGTCGGGGGTGGTGGATGGATCATAAGCCGTCGGTAAATAGATTATGTGGTCCGGCCCGGGGTGTTAAGTGGTGGTAGGGACACCGTTCTGTCGACAGCCGGCCCTGGCGGGGGTCACGCCAGCATTTCGGACGCGGGCATCGCATTGTAGCATTTTGCAGCCATTCGGCACTGTCCTGGGAGCGTCCGCTGGGGGGGTAGTCACTTCTGATCCGGTGTCTGAGGAGCATTTAGTGCGGGAGAGATGCTGGGCGGCATAGGGTGAGGCCACGGGCGGTTCTGGTCTGGGGTCATCAGAGGGACGATTCTGAGCTCAGTGTTCCCACAGTTGCTACCTCAAGGACGCCTTTGGTACGCGGGGGTGGGTCGGAGGGCATAGCTTGTGGTCGCTTCCCCGGGGGCGTTCTATGTCCGTCGTTCTGCCAGAATTATGGGTAAGGATGTGATTCTTCCGTTTGGTGGTCCGACGTGTGCTGTGGTGGGTGGATGGAGTCCAATTGGAGGTGGGGGAACGGCGGCGGCATGGGCTGTCACCCGTGGGGGGGTCCACAGATGGGTGACATTTTAGGTTTAGGGCCTCGTGGGCACGAGTTTGCTGATGGATTGCATTAACCGCCTCGTACCGGTGGTTTTCTGGACGGTCTTGCTATGTGGTGTTGCGTCGGGGGCCTGGTAGCACATTGCGAATGGCACCGGGACATCCGGCACCCGTTGGAGAACGGGTGAAGTACTTTCATGCCAGTTCTTTTGGCGCGGATGGGGGCGGGTGACTGGCTAGCGGCGGGTGGGGAACAAGAAGGGGAGCGCACGTGGCGAGAACTGCGGCTGGGGGTACAACTTACTCTTGGCATCCCCAAGCCCCCCCATGGGGGTGAATGGGCCCCCCGACCACACGCTCAAACGGGGTAAGATTCAGGATAGCCTGGTGGGCGGTCCAGTATCGTAATGCATAACGTCCCCGGGGCGGGCAATGACACGCATGAAACTTGAAGAGTCCATGGCGCGAGGAGGAGGCGGACTGGCGGCGTTGCCGTCAGTGGCTTTCTTCGTGTATACGCCAAGTATTCTAATATCCCGGGGGGGGGGGGGGGGGGGGGTGATTATACCTTATATGGCCTTGTGGGGCAGGGCTCGTACATGCCATGTTAAATTATCGGAGATCGAGGAGGCGAGGAGCTGGTTGACCGCCCCCAATACGAGAAGCCCCGATAAGGCACGGGACCTCGGCTGGTTCGTGCCGGCCCCCCGGGGGATCGTTATCACGTGTCCCTGTGTCGTCGTCCAATCCCCCCCTGGCGCTTGAAACACGTCGAACAGCACCTTTTCGTTATGAACCGTCTGATTACGGGGGGGGAGCGCATCTTTGTAGATGTTCATGTGGGGGCGGCCTGCATCGGGGTTCCTGGCACGTCTTGAGCCCCCACGGACATTGTTGATCGATAGGCGGGTGCTGGGGCTTCAGGGCGCGGGGTATCGCCGGTGTGGGTAATCTTTTTTCAACGCACCGCTGACCATATCGCATCTTTGCCTCGGGCTGCAGCCTTGGCGGTTGTGTCGGCATTGGTGTCGTGCGAGCGTCCGGGGGGTTAGGGGGCAGGGGGCTAGGTGTTCGCGCCATTGTGGACTATTTGCGACTGTGGATTAAGGGCGTACTGTGGAGCCCTGGTGATACGGGCATTGAGGGTGTTTTGGTGCCGGCTTATGGGTGCGGGGTAGGTTCTTTTTAAGCAGGGAGAACAAGCCTGGCCGGGCGGGGGTTTGCTGTTGGGTATAGAGGGGGGGCTTCTTTGCTATTTTATGATGTTAGTGGGATGAATTGAACTAGGGGGTATATTTAGGCGGACCCTTGTCGGCGTCTGCGCATTCCTTTGTGAGGTGGTGCACAGTTGTTGTGGGGTTGGATGGGGCACCGGGCGAGCGTCAATACAACGATATTCAGTTTATTATCATGTCACACGGTGGCGCAGCGAGTTGAACTTGACGGACGTATAGGGGCGGACCGGGTTGAGTGAGACGTTGTGAATGGGGGAGCTTATTATTCCGGGGGTAAGGGGAGATCGGCATTATTTATAGGTTTAGGAGGGTACACTTTGGTTTTGTGGTCAGCTTCGGGGTTGCGGTGTGTGCCGGAGCAGGGGCCGTGCGGTGGGGGTGCGGGTGGATGGGGGGAACGCGGGCGGGCGTCTTCGGGGGGAAATAGTCTTGTTTGTTATGGCTTATTGAGTGGGCCGGGGGGTCGGGGCTTCCCTCTGCGGAGCTGGTAACATATGAGGCGTACAGGGAAAACCCGGGTAGTGGTGTTCGATATGGCGGGAGAGTGTGGATGGGATGCAAGGGGCGGGTTTTTTTTGCTAGGGGTAGGGGGGGTTGGTCGCCGGGTTGCGTTGGGGGGCTTCAGTTGGGCGTTGTTGGTGTAGGTTTAAGCGGGCGGGTTGGCGGTGGACTAACTCATTAGAGGGGGCACCTTGAATGTAGGGCCCGCGTGGGTTGGCTGTTTTTGGTATGTGTGTGTGGTACGTGGAATGGGAGTGAAGGGTCAGGGGTAGTGGGGGGTGGGTTTGTCTACCCTATGTTGGTCCGGGTTCTGGGGGGCGGGGTTTGGTCGCGTGGGGGGATGCAGGCAGGGGTGCCATGGGACCGTGCCGTACTGCTTTAGGGGGGCAGGATCGGGGGACGAGGGGTTGGGCTGCGTTGGTCTTGTGAGCATCCCCCGTCGCTGCGCCTTTGGTTCGCCCGCCCCGGTGACTCCCGGTAGCATGTTGTTCCTTGTCTGATTGGTGCTTTTTGAGATGGTCGCAGTTTTCTTGCTCTGTGGGGGACAGCCGGACGGCGCTGTCATTTGTACTGCGGTGGTTTTATCTTAGGGTTCCGGGCATTAACAGGTGGGGTTTTCTGGCCACGGGGGGGTGTCGCGCACTGGACCTCGTTTTTACAGGCCTGGGGTACGTTACGCCATTGTAGGGATCCCACAGTGTGGTTTGCGTGGTGCGGATGCACAGAATGGGGGCTCCCAAGTAACTCATTTGTCTGTGTATATGTTTAATGACCAACCCCGTTTGGTGGGGGTTGGTTTACGGGCGGTTTGTACCTGTGCAACTTTGCTTTACTTGGGCGGGCGGGTTTTTAGGGCCAAGCCCCGTGGCAGGGCTTTTTGAAGTCATAGTAGGAGGGGTAGTGCCTGCTTACGCCCCTCCAACCCCCCGTGCGGAGCCGGGGGTATAACACGCACCACTTTGTGTGGTGGGGTTCTGTAGCTTGGTTGGATGAGGGCACGCTACGGGTAGATTTTTGCGTTGGCTTGGGCGGGGCGTAAATTGAATTGCTGGGGGAGGCTCACCTCGGGGTCGTGGTGGGATGGGGTTCCCGGATGGGGCTTTCCTTTTTCGTTGTGGCCGTTTTGATGCGGGTCCCCCTGAGTGGGTGTTTTGGATATGTACGGGGTTCTTGGCGGTTAGGCTATTCAAGGTTGGGTACCTTGGCACAGGAGCAGCAGGAGCGGCCGAATTTTGTCAGCGGGTTTGTGGGCGGGTGGCGCGGGAGTAGTCTTAGTTTAGGCTGCGGCCGCCCCTGGTGTGGCGGAGAGGGGTGGGGCTGGGTAGGGGGCGTGTAGGGGGGGGCGGTATAGGGGTTGAGGGGGGGGTGGTTTGGGAGTCTCGGTTGGGGATGTTTGCCTATTGCCTGATTTTGTGCCCTCTTACCGGGCTTGTCTAGAGGCCGTCCCCGCCCGGAGGGGTTGCATGGGGTCTTCCACCGGCGAGGGGTGAGTGCTGGGGCTGGCTTGGGGCGGGCGGGGTCCCCGCCGGGGGCGGGCTGAAGCCCCCGGGGGCGTCGGGTTCGTAGAGAGGGTCGGGGCTGACCAGGGGCGGGCTCGATGTAGTGGGAGCGTGAGGGTGCCCCTGGATGGGGAATGAGTGTGTAAGTATCGGTATGGGAAATGAGCCTCGCGTAGGAGACCCCCACCAGCCCGTGAGAGCCAACATGTTCCCCGGTAGCCGGGCGGTCCCCCCCGAGGTATGGGGGTTACTATCTAACAGATGTCGCGCTGGGGGGGTGTTTTGGTCTGGTTGGTGGTCTGTTAGGCACCTTTTGGGTGGTGGTTTGCTGAGGTTAAAGCGGGAAAGGGGTAAGACATGAGCCCATATTGCGATTTTATTGTTGATCTTGCCCCGGGGTCTGGGGCGGCGGAGGTGGGCTGAGGTACGTGTGGAGGCGGGTCTTTCAATTGGCGAATGCGGGTGGCGCAGCGCGGAGTGCGCCAGGAGGGGAACGGGGTTCTAGCTGGATAGCACATGTTGGAGGTTTTAGTGTATTAAAGCGGCACTGGGGCGTCCACAGAGAAATGCGCCGAGTTTAACTTGGGCTTGGCCATGCCGTGTACCCTTTGACTTTGCGAAATATTCCGGTGTGTTCTTGTCGCATTCGTGTGGCGCCTCTGTGGCTTGTGCGTTTTTCTGGTTGGTATGCGGTTGTTGGGCTCTCGGGTAAGGCCGTCAGATAGGGGTTTTCTCCGGGACGGTCTTATGCCGGGTTGTGTTCATATACCCGGTAACCTGTTTAAAGTTTCGTATCTACTATTGTACAGGGTTGGAGTTCTTGGCAGTTCCGGAGTTCTCGGGTTGTGGGGGGGGCCGGCTGCACCCCACTGGGGCGCTTACGTGGGAGGAGAAGATGCATCTGAGGGGAGTGCGTTTTGTGCCCCAGGGGTGGTGTGCGCCCCCACTGGTCGTGAGGTCATGACCCGGGACAATCAATGGGCTATGGGGACCGCGAGCGGGGGGGGCCGGGGCGCCGCATAGGATGGTAGCTTTGGATGGGTGGCTCTCCGCATGTTTTTTCGTGCAAATTTGGGTTGTAAAGGATGTGGCCGAGGTATGCCAGCTGTTCAGGTATGTGTTAATACACGTGTGAGGTGCACAGGTGCCCTGTATCCCGCCCCGACGTGGTAACATGAAGTCATTCGTCCCCCTCTGGTCACTTTGTTTGGGCCGTCTCTGGTCGGGTCGTGTTCTCGGGCCAGAGTTACACGAGGGAGGGCCACACACACACAAGAGGACTGGGGTTGCGTGGGCGGCAGGGTTTTCTGCGGGCCGGAGTTGACATTGAATTTTATTGGCTACTGGGCTTTCGTCTACCGTGTTGGGGTTCGTTTGTAATTTCTGGTATAGGATATTTTCAGTTTTTCAGAAACGGCCAACATTTAGGGTACGGCAGCACTCATAGGGAGTACGGGGGTTATTTGCTGGTTAGAGGTCGACAGGGGGGGTTGAATGAACGTGAGGATTTAGGGGGAGGTAGGGTTTGCTCGGTGCGGGATGGGCGGGGGGGACTCGCGCGGGCGGGGGGACGGTGCCGTGGTGTGGACGTCTCGCACGGCCCCGGCCCCGGCATGGGTGTGTCCATGGTTCCCCTGGCCCGGCTCGCTTTTCCGGGTCAATAAGACCTCCCTGGCCGTGGCTTATGGTGGTACCACTGGCCCGGGATAGCGTGCGCACCTGACCGACCGTGCTGAGTCCACGGGTCACTAAGGTGCTGGTGAGAGGGTGGCGACCGTGGGAATTTGGGGTTGTCTTAGTGTTGCCGGTGGGTGCGGAAAACGGCCGGGTCTCATCAGAACGCGTTGAGTTGGAGGTTGCCTGGTTGGCAGCCTTGGAGTTGGTGGGATGGACCTGGCCTCGATGATTCACTCCTACTCCCTGGTTATTGTTGTTGGTCCCCCCGTCTTGGTGTGGGGAAGTAGCACTCGCGGGTGACGCGGGCTGGGGCCGACGGCGATCTGGGCCGGAACACGGGCGGACGGGACACAATGGTTGGCGACATGATCATGGCGCAACGCGTTGACTGGACAACGGCCCGGGGCCCTGGCCCGTCCCCTGAGGATGGTTCCGGGAAGCCCCAAAGGTTCCAGTCCGCCCGGCTATGTCTCGCAGGACCTGAGAGTGGAATGTCGGGCAGACCCTTATGTATGGTGATGAGGACGGTGATTACTAGGGGGATTTTAGCGCCAGTGGAGGCGGGGGAGGGCTGCTAGCGCGCGAGTAGCAGTAGCGTAGTGTAGAGAGTACGACGTACCAGCCGTACGAGTACACCCGTAAGCAGTAGAGTCAAGTAGTAGTCGAGTAAGAGTCAGAGTAGAGTAGCCCAGTAGAGTAGAGCTAAAGTAAGTATAGTAGCGGAAGACGCAGCACAGGCTAAGAGGTAAACGTAACACGCTAGCGTAACAGTAACAGTAGAAGTAGCACGGTCCAGAGTACGACGTCAACGTAAGCAGTAGCAGTAAGACGCTAACCAGTAGAAGTAGACCGGGAGAGTAGAGTAGACGTGTCGGTCAGAGTAGAGTAGGAGTGCCAGTAGAGTAGCGTAAAGTAGCCCGCTAGCAGTAGCCCCCCCCAGTCAGAGTAAGTAGAGTTGCCCCATTAGCAGTAAACCGGTCAGAGTAGCAGTATGAGTCCAAAGTACGAGTAGCATGAGTCGCCCAGTCAGAGTTGCGACGTCGCTAGCCGTAGTGTAGCAGTAGAGAAGCCCCCCAGCTAGTAGTAGCCCAGTAAAGTTACGCAGTCAGAGTCGAGTAGACGGTCGGTCCCGCTCGTAGAGTGCAACGTAGCGAAGCAGTAGCCGTACAGTAGAGTAGCAGTAGAGCTACACCCCCAGTACGCAGAGTAGACGTAGATTGCAAGTAGGAGTCAGCAGTCAGAGGCTAGCCAGGTAGACCAGTAGCGTAAGTACCCGCAGTCAAGAGTAGGCAGTAAGAGTAGCAGTGACGTAGAGCTAGGAGTAGCAGTAGCACGCCTGAAGTACGCAGTAGGTCCACACGCTTCCCATGTCCCCACTGACACCGTAGGCCGTCCCGGCCGGACTGGTCGGGGGGCGGGCCGCTGTTTACCGCCGACAAACAAATCCTGGTTTTGTGTTAGTACGGTGCCGTTTACATCTTTGGCCTTCCTGCTGGAAATTGGGCCACACAATCTCTGTCTGTTCAAGGACTCCACCCCCCCCCCCATCCACCCCAACACACATAAGTAAGGCAGAGAGGACCAGATCTGTTATTGGCTTGCCAGTGGATGTAGCTGATTAAGTACTGTCCAAAATTTAGTACCTGGTCCCGGACCCCAAACAGGGCTCAGTAAGGGGGAGGAAACACTCCAATTGGGGGCTGAGCAGAGTGAGGAGAGCCGTGCCATGTAGGGCTGGGGGGGTGGGGGAACGGGGCTGTTTCTGTTGAATTGATCATCGTGGTTACTGCGCTGTTTATAAACCCTGGTTTAGTTCTTAACGTATAAGTGGAAAACACAAAACCGATATCTGTGTTTTGAATCAAAAAAGCTGTTTCTGTCGTTTTACTTGCGTCTGAATACTGGGGAAGCTGTGGTTTACGAGGTTGGACAGCGAAGGTTTTCTGGGTCGCAGAGCGCAGGGCGGAGATCGGATGCTTTTTTGTTTGGGCTGGTGGGTGGGGATGTATGATGTGGAAATAAAAACAAGGTGCCCTGGAATGGACAGGCTCTGTGCTCATGGAAATATAGGCATCCTGACGACCTGCTGCTTCATGTTGTATTTGGGATTTATCGATGATTTACTGGTCCCATGCCTCGCGGTGGGGGATAATGCCTGGGGGTGCATCGTCACGGACTGGACCATGTAGGAGGGCTCTGTGTTTAGCTTGTTCCCTTGTTGTCAACTATAGCATTAACTTTTTTTATATGGTTCAAAATATCTACGTTCTGCCAAGATTATGCTAGCTTTAGCATAGTTGAAGAAGCATGTATATAAATCTATAGCTTCTAGCATTAAGAAAAAATCTCTGACTGATACAGAGAGACAGGCAGAGCAGTGGTGAGGAGGAGTCAGACATTGTAGCGTGACTGGAAAAAAAAGAGTGGAGAGGTCATTCTGAGACAACGGGGGCGGAGGGACACCGAGTTGAGAGAGACTGTACAGTCGAGAGAGAGAGGAGACGATGTGAGAGACAAGCAATCTGAGGAGAGAAGATGGATAGACCCTCAAACAAAGAGGAGAGGAGGAGACTAGTACAGAGTAGATGAAAAAGAAAGGGAGGTGAGAGACAGTCACAGAGTGAGACTGAGAGAGAGGGAGAGACACACAGATCGAGTGTGGGTCTTCTAGAGGTGGTCGCGAGAGAAGTGGGCTTTGAATGAGTAAGGAAGAGAGAGACAGACAAAGAGGTGAGATGTACAAGAGAGAGTTTAGGAGGATTGTGGATGTGGCTCGTGGAGTAGAGATCGAGAATGAGTAAACTATGGTCCTACATAACAGATTCTCTTCATTTTACGCCTCCCTCACGTGGGGGTTGTCTAGTTTGTGAGGAGGAGACTGTAGTGTTGACAAGGAGTGTTTCTCTATACTCTGTCTCTCTCTCTCTCTGTCTCTCTCTTTGTCTGTCTCTCTCTCTTTCTCTCAATGTCCGTCTCTCTCTCTCTCTGTTTGACTCTCTCTCTGTGTGTCTCTCTCTCTCTCTGTCTCTCTCTGTGTCTGTCTCTCTCTCTCTTTTTCAGTCTACTCTGTCTGTCTCTCTCTCTCTTTGTCTTTCTCTCTCTCTCTGTCTCTCTCTCTCTCTGTCTGTCTCTCTCTCTCTCTGTTTGACTCTCTCTCTTTGTCAGTCTCTCAATGTCTGTCTCTCTCTCTCTCTGCCTGTCTCTCTGTATCAGTCAGAGATTTTTCTTATGCTAAAGCTAGAGATTTTATACTTGCTTCTTCACTATGCTAAAGCTAGCATAATATGGATGATGTAGTTATTTTACATTAATAAAAGTTATGCTATAATTATTGTTCATTTATCTTGTGCTCCTCATTCTGTCCTGTACGTGACGATGCAACACTGGCATTTCCCCACAGAGGGACCAGTAAATCTCTTAATCCTAATAAAACATGAATAAGCAGGAGTCAGGAGGACTTTATTTCCATGAGCACAGCCTGTCAATCAGGCACTTTGTTTTTATTCCACATCAACTGAAAATAAATAATGAAAATATTAAAAGCAGAAGTCGCAGAAATGAGAGAGAGTCGTTAAAGTGAGAGACTCAGCGTTTTCCACAGATTCCACTGTTTTCAGACGCTTGTAAACGACAGAACAGCTTTTTGTTCTAACACTGATCGGTTTTGTGTTTTCACTTTTACGTTAGAACTAAACCAGGGTTTTTACAGCGCAGTAACAACATGATCAATGCAACAGAAACAGCCCCGTTTCCACCAGCCCTACTTGGCACGGCTCTACTCTGCTCTGCCCCAATTGGGAGTGTTTCCACTGGCCCTGTTTGGTCCGGGACCAGGTTCTTATTTACAGTAGTAGCAGCTCGGTCCTGGTTCTGTTCGGGCCGAGCGGCTACTGAAGTAAACTGAACTGACAGAGATTGGCCAGATTTCTGCTGGAAGCCATAGTTACCCAGGAATTTCCTCAAATACTGGTTTGTTGTCGGCGGTAACTGAGACAAAACCATAATGGAAAGCAGGGTAGAGTAGGATGGGGTAAGGTAGAGTAGAGTAGAGTAGGATCGAGTAGAGTAGAGTAGAGTAGGATCGAGTAGAGTAGAGTAGAGTAGAGTAGGGTCGAGTAGAGTAGAGTAGAGTAGAGTAGAGTAGGATTGAGTAGAGTAGAGTAGGGTCGAGTAGAGTAGAGTAGGGTAGAGTAGAGTAGAGTAGGGTCGAGTAGAGTAGAGTAGAGTAGAGTAGAGTAGAGTAGGGTAGAGTAGAGTAGAGTAGAGTAGAGTAGAGTAGAGTAGGATCGAGTAGAGTAGAGAAGAGTAGAGTAGGGTCGAGTAGAGTAGAGTAGGGTAGAGTAGAGTAGAGTAGGGTCGAGTAGAGTAGAGTAGAGTAGGGTAGAGTAGAGTAGAGTAGAGTAGAGTAGAGTAGGATCGAGTAGAGTAGAGAAGAGTAGAGTAGGGTCGAGTAGAGTAGAGTAGGGTAGAGTAGAGTAGAGTAGAGTAGGGTAGGGTAGAGTAGGGTAGGGTAGAGTAGAGTAGAGTAGAGTAGAGTAGGGTAGAGTAGAGTAGAGTAGAGTAGAGTAGAGTAGAGTAGAGTAGGGTAGAGTAGAGTAGGGTCGAGTAGAGTAGAGTAGAGTAGAGTAGAGTAGAGTAGAGCCCGTATCCCGAAAAAGAAGAAATAGCAGTTTTGAAACCGTGTTGCTAAAGATGAAACTGTCTGTTAGAACTTGGAATAGAGAAGGAAGATTCTGTGACCAGTCAGACTTCTGAAGCTAAGCAAGACAGGGCCTGATTAGCACTGTGATGGGAGACTTCTGGGAACACAAAGGTGCCACAGTGAGACGAGACAATCCCCAACTGGGAGTAGGACTATATCTTTCCTTATTATTGTTACTTTTGCTGATCCTGCCTGATATCATTAGCCTTAGCATTAGCTGCTTAGCATTAGCATTAGCGGCGTGGTTCAAAGGTGACATACCCCGGCTTATTGTAAACCCATTTGGACTAGCACTAAAGTGCTAATATCCGGTCACGGTAGCTCCGCCCACTTCTGTTATTACTGCGGTGTAAAGTTTAGTGCCACTTTATGCCCAGCAACGCAAATATAGAAAAAAAACAACAAACACATGAAAATCTCTTTACAGTCAGAAACAGTTTGAACTCGGCTGCTTCCACCATGAGACTATTTCCTGATTTTTAACACTAGAACTTGTGGAGCAGTCAATTTGACGGCTTTTAGTTTTGGAAGTGTACTTTGGTCTTTATTACTTCTAGTGTATTTAAATGTCATTGTTTTGATTGGATTAGAACAGTTTTCTCATTAACTGCAAGGGCCCGAAAGATTAGCGGAACTCGCCCATATTTGGTCATTTATCTGGTCCTCCTGGTTCTGCACAGTGGATAAGAAATATGTTGGTTCTCTGTCAGGTTCTCTGTCAGCTGCATTGAATTCTTTGGATATTTTTCTGAGTTACATGAATTTAGTCTACAGTACCACAGCGCCCCCTGTGAAGATGGGAGGGACAGCTGTAAGCTAGTAATACTCTATCCAGATATTTTAATAGAACCATGATGTGGAGCCAGCACTAGTTACCATAGCAACACACTATTCACTGTTAGCCGTTAGCATTGTTAGCATTAAGTCTTTGTTGTATTTAGGGTTATGGTAAGTTATATTCACCTGTTTAAGCACTTATTAAAAGTGAGTAACGGTAAATACCTTATAAATGACTTACTTTTAATATTAATATTAAATATATTTGATATTTATATCATTGTGGGAATTTCTCAGAATTACATTGGTTCGAATGGGCGCAGTCAAAATGACAGGGTTGTAGTAGTTTCAGAATTCTGGGAGTCCTAGTGTTAAAAGGAACAGACTCATCAACACATAATACTGACATTGGTTTTCAGAATATAGTAAGAAAATAAGACACAAAATGTACAACTTGCTTCTTGTTTTGAGATTGAGAGCTGATGTCAAAGGAAAAGTTCAGCATATTTAATCCTACATTTGGAATTTATACTCATTATATGTCTATTATAACAAAATACTCTGAGGGTTGTGTTCAAAATGTCCTCTACAGAGTCAGATGGAGCGCTCAGGCTAATTAGCTCTATGGGAAATGTCATAGACTGTATATAGATGGACAATGCTAACCCGCTAGCTCAAAGAATGATGACAAGGCTAACCCGCTAGCTTAAAGTAACACAAGGCTAACCCGCCAGCTCAAAGAAAGACAATGCTAACCTGCTAGCTCAAAGAAAGACAATGCTAACCCGCTAGTAGCCGGTTTTATATTTTGATATTGTCTTTCTGAACATTTCCTTCGACATTTGCCTCCAAAAAAAGCTTACAGTAAAAAAACACAGTCTCAAAACTTAATCAACAACGAGAAAATAAGACACAATAACGTTTAGTTTAGTAGCGACAAATAAAAAATATTTACAAGTATTTTGAAAGCAGGAGAGAAGGAATTGGTCCTTAAGTTGTGACTTTAACATTTCAAGTTATGTGCATTTCTCATTCTGCTTTTACTGCCTTAAAATGAACTATAGTCACACAGAAACCTGCTTGGATTTGGTAAAACTTAGATTATTCTTAAAGGGAAGAAGAAGCCATAATTGCGTCTGTAAAACTATCTTTGTAAGGTTAAAACCGACGCTACGTAAAAGAAGTAGTGTAGGCTTTTTAAGAATAAGCCATTTTCTTGTTTGCTTTGGATCTGGTCTTCAGAAAGTTTAATTAAAAATACTATCGGATGTTTATGTGTATATTTTTGTGCGGTAAACCTGGAGGGCAGAAGCTCAAAGCAACTCACTTCAATCTTGGCAGTTCGTCCCAGGCTGTTAAATCTGGTCATGGACGAAATACCAAGACTTTTACACCGTTGACTTCACTATGTTTTAATCCGCTGGAAATTTGTCTCACACATGAACCATAGTGATTTTTAGATAGAGATTTTATACTTGCTTCTTTATTATGCTAATGCTAATCTTAATTTCTCACTGATATCTTAAATTACTCAATTACAGAGGCACGTGAAAGGCACAAAGTTTCTGTCCTCCAGGCAACAAGCAAGCAGCAAAAATAAGTCATTTCCAAAACAATTTCCTTCTTGTTTTTAAATAAACAATATTTAAAATCAAGGAAAGAACTGGAATCTCATCTAATCTCTGATCATTTATAACCGAAAAAGTCTGGATTGAACCGAGTTGTTGTTGGATCAATTCAACACAGGTGTAAGTAATTATTAGACATTATTAAACAATTCCATCACATATTTACACATTATTCTGATTTTTTTCCAACAAGGCTGAAATAATCTAACCATGTGAGTTATACTAGTACAGGGGAAAGGCACGTGGGTAATACGCTGTTGCAAACACATAGCATGTTCATGTCTTTCTTCTGTGCCCTTCGCAAAAAGAGGAAAAAATGAAAAACTAAAAATAAATAGCCAAGAGCCTCTACCTTAGGAAATTGTCTCTTCCTTTGCCAAGAAGTTTCAGTGTTTGTTGCCTGAGAAAAGTCCACAGTTTTGTTGAGAAAAAGGATATTAGCGATAGATTAAAGGCCCACCGTGTCGCCGCGTTGGTCTTCGCAGGAGCTCAGGTCTGTTTGTATGTTTTATGGTTGGAACGAGACGGAACATGAATTAAACTATTATTAGGGCTAATCAGATATTTTGACTCAATCTTGCCCCGTTTGTTAAACATGGATTGGATGACATAGTTCTGTGTTTTGTATTTTGAAACATAGTGTACATTTCTTTAACCCTTGAGGCGCCAGAGGTTTTTCCGTAAAGCTCAATTTTGACATAATTTTAACATCTTGAAAGTGATAATAGACTCTGTAGAAAGGTTTCATCTGGAGCTTTTGATATTGACACTAATTGAAAAAGACCAAGTTACACGGTGCGCCTCTAAACTGCTGCAGCAAGTGGAAAAGTTGAGTTGGATGAGGCGGTTTTTAACTCTCGAGTGTCCCCCACAGTTGCCCCTATACCCAGTACTGATTCTTGCCGGGGCTCGATGTTCGACAGTGCTGCAACAACTCTGGATCTGCGTCTTTGCCCCCCACCGTTGTCATCGGGATGTTATTGGCGGCGTCGGTCTTACGAAAAGTCTCGGTTCCGGCGACTTCTCCGTTTTTAGGCTTGGAAGACGCCAACTGGACATTATGTTTTCCCGTTTTATTCTTGCGGATCACGTAGTAAGCAAGGATCGCCGCCAGCAGAAGCAGCAGAAGAATGACGAGGATTGGGATTAGGATGGACCACACGTTGCTTCGTCTGGACACCACTGGCTTCCGATGCGTTCCGGGTGGCGTGGTGGTCGGCCAGTCACCCATGCGTGGGATGCCTTGGGTACCAACTGGGAGCTCGAAACCAGGCGGGACCCTCAACAGAGTGACTGGATACACCCCTGACCCATTGTAAGGGCTGGTTTGGAAAGATAAAGCGCATTCGGCAGGTGGAACGCCATGAGCTTTGAGCAAGAACCTAGCTTCATCTTGATGTACGCCTGATTTAGATCCGGGACGTGGCGGTTTGATTTCCATAGCTACGCGTCCATCGTCCAGTTCCTTTTGGCTAAATGAGTCCACGGTCTGCCCTGCCGACGGACCATCAGCAATGACGAATCTCGCTCCTTTCGGTTGTTGTATGACGGTAAATGTTGGCGATGTTCTCGTCTTGTTCGCCAAAGGGGTTGCGTCCAAAAGCTTACGGTCCACCCGCACCTTTGCGCCTTGAGGTAGCATGGGGTTCTCTGCGATGTTAGCAAGCGGTTGAACTGTAATGTTAAGCACGGACGATACATTGGCCGCCCTGCTTCGAGCCACGAAAGCTACGCTGTCTCGCGGAGATGTAGACTTCACAAAGCGGACGCTAACTCGGCCTTGGCGGATTTGCTCTTGAGTGAAAGCGGAAGTTGGCTGGCGGTCCACCATGACGGCTGCGTATTTCGGGACATTCATAATCTTATACAGGACGTCCTCTTTGAGTGGTCCTCCTGTGGTAGCTTTCAACATCTCTTCAGTTATCAGCGTCTCGTCGTCGCCTTGTTTCACTTTGATTTCGGGAGCTTTGCTGAGGACTAAAGTGTGAGCAAGGACGCCGATATGAAGCGTGTACGACTCGGTTTTGTGCTCTCCGTCCGTGACATAAAACTCAAAAAACCCTTCTTTTAGACTGCCATCACTTTGGAAACCGATCTGTCCACGGTTGACCATGTCTTGTGTGAAATCAGAAGCGACATCCATTCGTAGCAAGTCCAAAAGTCTTCCGTTTCTTGGCGCTTTGGTGACCTTGAAGTGCACCTCATCAGGCGGACTGTCTTCATCTTGAGTGTTGAGATGTTTCTGGCTCAAAATGGTCATGGAGTCTTGCAGGACTTCCAGGAGCATATCAGAAGTGACCAGTTCTGGAGGATCTGAACCCCTTCGCCTGATCGGTATGTTGAAGACCTCTTCCAGGACCACAGACTCAGCTGGGGTGGCAGAACCTTGGCTCGAAGTCCTTAGCCTCGCTCTGAAGGCAAAGCTGTCCGAAGCAGCACCGGAGTCATCGTGAAGGTACTCTAAGGCTCCATTGTTGACGTCTTCTTGCATGAAGTAAGGAGATTCCCGAGGCAAGTCATGACCTCCGAGAGTGAGGCGTCCGCGGGAAGGGAAGCGCCTGATTTCATAAACTACGTCGGCATCAGCGCGCGTTGTTTCCGGGAGACTCGCCAGGAGATTGGAAGCGTCAAGAATAGATTGGTCAATGGCTTTTCTCTGACCCTGCACGATGTCCAAACCTGAAAGATAAAGAGGAAAGACATGAGTACGTTTGACTTTTACAAACAGTTGTAAAGCGGGAACAACTTGTCCAAGCCCTTAATAAAATCAGGTTTTCTAAAAGTTATTCATTTTGACTACAAGGCCCTGTCCAGATGAAGACCATTTCAGTTTGGTTATTTTTTAAATCGTTGAATCCACCAATATTTTTCAATGACATCACTGCTCCAGCTCTGAGCTCAGGTGTTCTGTACTCACCTGAAACTTGAAGTTAACTCATAACCACAGAATTATTTTCCCGTGAATCTCTGTTTAAAGTATAACTCAACTCCACTCAGGAAGTCCCGGTCCTCTACCCAAAGCCAGGATCGTCTTAGTGAGAAGCCACCGTTTCATCCAGGGCTTGCTCGTCCATGCAACATTTTTCTCCTTTTTTTTGTTAAATCTCAAGAAAAAGTCTTCTCTTCACTTCAGCTGCTGTTTATTTACAGTAGAAGCAATTAGTGCTGAGTTAGGTCTGTTCGCTTCATGTGAATGAGCTAGTTTTGTCTTTAGGATTTTATAAATCAATTCAAAACATTTTTTGTTTAGCTGCAAATCACAACGGTCGTCCCAGAAGACTTGAAAACATAGGTGCCATTGGTGGGGCCGTGATAAATGTCCATAAATGTCCTTGTCCAGGATCCTCTCGTCCTCAGACCCTTCTGCTCGGGAAGGAACACGTCCAAAACCCAGAAAGAAAAACTGAGAAACCTCAGGAATGCCTTCATGGTGCAGGACTGAAGAGGCTCCTAGAGGAAGCTGGGATCCGCCAGGACGAGGGCCTAAGTTTATATGAACCAAAGCAAACCAATGTAGGACATTAATGATGTTTATGAAAGGCGGTATATAAATACAGATTACTTACTTACTTACTTTATAAACTGGAGATTGTGAACTTTGGAACCATCTGTAAGTGTCTCTGCAGAGATGGACAAGTCTACAATACGACCAGACCCTTTATGACCAAACACTTTACAGTTTATTACACTGTATAATTAAACTGGTCATGTTTATGGTTTTTATGGTTACTTTAGATTATTCTGGAAACTGCAGCGAGTCCTAAATGTCTCTGAAACAGTTTTTGTTTTGTGCTTTACAATTTTCTTTTATTCTGCCTGAGATGTTGCTGCAGTTCAGTGTTCATGGTTTTACACTGGTCCAGACCAGAGCAGAGAGGATTCATGGTTTTACACTGGTCCAGACCAGAGCAGAGAGGATTCATGGTTTTACAATGGTCCAGACCAGAGCAGAGAGGATTCATGGTTTTACACTGGTCCAGACCAGAGCAGAGAGGATTTATGGTTTCACACTGGTCCAGACCAGAGCAGAGAGGATTCATGGTTTTACACTGGTCCAGACCAGAGCAGAGAGGATTCATGGTTTCACACTAGTCCAGACCAGAGCAGAGAGGATTCATGGTTTTACACTGGTCCAGACCAAAGCAGAGAGGATTCATGGTTTTACACTGGTCCAGACCAGAGCAGAGAGGATTCATGGTTTTACACTGGTCCAGACCAGAGCAGAGAAAATGGTCTGAACCTTTTACTATTGTTAGATACTTTTAGAATGACGTATTAATGTTATTTCTGCTGCTGCTGGACTCTCTGCCACAGGGATCACTAAAGTATCTACAGTATGTTCACCTCTGTTCTTCCACAGCTGTGAGGAGATGTTGCTGTGAGCGGCGTAGTAGGAGATGGTGATGGGCAGGATGTGGCGGACGTCGGGTGCAGGCTGCGAGGAAACGATCAGCTCTACGGAGTCTCTCGTGACCCAAAAAGGTTCCTCTGGAAGCTGGTGCTCGTAAAACACGGATCCAGACTCCAGCTACGAGACGGAAAGACGAGAGGCGGCGTTAGATTTACAGTCAGGCCCTTTTCCATGCATAAATCAGGGCTTAAGTAAGTGGTCGAGTGTGTATTTAGTCCCACGGGTCTCAAACCAACAACGTTCTGGAACTCGTTAGAAGTCTCTCACGACAAGTTCAACCGCTGAAAATATTTGGTTTTCACGTTCGACTGTGGATGGTGATTATTTAGATATTTTCTGAAACAGTTTAAAAACGTAAGGACAGGGCTGTCGTCTGTCGCTCAATAAAGTCACGGAGCAAAAAGTGTCGAACTCTTAAAATCTGAGACTGAAGAAACTAGAGCCACTCTGTATTTTATCAAAAGAAAAATCTGATTTGTGAACTCAATGAAGTGGAAAGTGAAGTGTATTTTTTGTTATAATGTCCTTTTTAAGATTTAGAACCACATTGTTTCTGTCTGCTGCACACTGGGGAAGTCTCGCACAGTTTTTTCAATGTGGTTTTACGGCAAATGGAAAATAAATTCGTCTTGTTGTCATGAAACGTTCAGGATCATGATCTGTTCTGGTGCAGTGACAACGTCAACAGGAAGTCAAGTGTTTAAATTGTCTTCATTTTTAAGTAAACCCTGTAAGAAGCAGCAACTCATTTAAGAAGCTAGACCCGATTTTTTACTGATGAGATCATTTCATATAAAACTTGAGCTCATTGATTCAGCTGTGAATGAACTCAGTGACGCCTGCTCTGCTGGTGCTCGGACCATCTACGCTCGGACCATCTACGCTCGGACTATCTGCGCTCGGACTATCTACGCTCGGACTATCTACGCTCGGACTATCTACGCTCGGACTATCTACGCTCGCACTATCTACGCTCGGACTATCTGCGCTCGGACTATCTACGCTCGGACTATCTACGCTCGGACTATCTACGCTCGGACTATCTACGCTCGGACTATCTACGCTCGGACCATCTACGCTCGGACCATCTACGCTCGGACCATCTACGCTCGGACCATCTACGCTCGGACCATCTACGCTCGGACTATCTACGGACTATCTGTGCTCGGACTATCTACGCTCGGACTATCTACGCTCGGTTAGCATACATAAATCGCAAATAAAACTAGATGTCTCCGTGGGAGGAGAGCGTAGGGGAAATGAGAAGCCTGTGAGCGAGTTGGGGGCGGGGCTAAACATTCAAACCTGCAGAAACAGGTACAGCTCCTTTAAATGAGAGCATTAGTGTTTGATTTTGATGATGTCGGCCTGTGTCTCTGTATTTGTGTTAATGGTCTCATGAGCCCATGTGTGCGAGACACTATAATAAAATATCTATCAGCATTGTGTATTGTCCTGAGTTTGCGACAGGAAATGTGAGGAACTAGAATATACAGTATTTACTTTTCTGACGCATCTTCATTAAAGTCAGAGATTGTAAACTTAATTCTTGCTTCTTTATTATGCTAAAAGTAGATATTTAATCACATTCTCGTACAGAGTTATTGTTCATTTATCTTGTGCTGTGTGCTCCTCCTTCCTTCTCTTCTGTACCTGGCGTTGCAACACTGACATTTCCTCTCTGTGGGACCAATAAAGCATCTCTTAAACCTTGTAAATATCAGATACGGACGTTTAGCTTCAGGCCTAAGGCAGTATTATTATGTGTTTGTTTCTTGCGCCTGGTTCCACACAGATCCCAGACCTGAATAGTTTTCTCCAGAGTCACTGCGGCTCTGGTCCTGATGTGGTTTGGCTCCGGATCGACTGGAATGGGACGGATCAGTTTTGGACTCTGAGGTCATTTGTCCCAGTTTTACAGTTTTACAGTTTCAGCTCAAACTGAGAAACACAAACATTGACACAAAATGGAGAAACGACACTCAGCAAATATGTCTCAATGAATTTAGGATTTATTCTGGGTCAAAAACAGACCAATGGGAACTGGGATAGACAGTTTCCATTGGATGTATTTAAAAAACTGTTTTAACAAGAAGCAGTGAAGAAGAAGAGAAGGATGGAAGCAGAGAGGTCCATTCTGACAAGTTTTACTGAGGCTTCGTTAAAATCAAGTCTCACTTCTGAAATCACAGATTTGTTTGGTTTAGTCTCACACATTGGAATTCTCATAAAAAAAGGATTAGAATCAGAGTAGAGTAGAGTAGGGTAGAATAGAGCAGAGTAGGGTAGAGTAGGGTAGGGTAGGATAGAGTAGGGTAGGGTAGGATAGAGTAGGGTAGGGTAGGGTAGGATAGAGTAAAGTAGGGTAGGGTAGGTTAGAGTAGAGTAGGGTACAGTAGGGTAGGGTAGGATAGAGCAGAGTAGGGTAGAGTAGAGTAGGGTAGGATAGAGTAGGGTAGGGTAGGATAGAGTAGAGTAGGGTAGGGTAAAGTAGGGTAGGGTAGGTTAGAGTAGAGTAGGGTACAGTAGGGTAGGGTAGGATAGAGCAGAGTAGGGTAGAGTAGAGTAGGGTAGGATAGAGCAGAGTAGGGTACAGTAGGGTAGCGTAGAGTAGAGTAGGGTAGGGTAGGTTAGAGTAGAGTAGAGTAGGGTAGGGCAGGGTAGGGTAGAGTAGAGTAGCGTAGGGTAGAGTAGAGTAGAGTAGAGTAGAGTAGAGTAGAGTAGAGTAGAGTAGAGTAGAGTAGAGTAGAGTAGAGTAGAAAGGTATGGATCTGTGCACCATCTGTACACAAAGTACTGAAAAAGGGGACAAGGCAATGTCGCCATCTGCTGGAGACACTGTGTAACTGCAGACTGAGACAGCAAACCTGACTGGGATACAGACTGTGGAAGATACACATGCAAACTATTCAGTAATATTACTATACAATGTGTCGTAAAATTGATAAATAAAGTTAAGTCTTGTAGTCCTGTGTAGGGCTGCAGTGTGGATCCAGGACCACAGTGGGAAAGAGCAGCGTGTTGTTGGGGCCCGTGTCAGATTTTCACCACAGGGATACATACAAGGGTCAAAACACACTTCTGACTTCAGGACCAGAGAGAGACCAGAGAGAGAGACCAGAGAGAGACCAGAGAGAGACCAGAGAGAGACCAGAGAGACCAGAGAGAGACCAGAGAGAGAGACCAGAGAGAGACCAGAGAGAGACCAGAGAGAGACCAGGGAGGGAGAACAGAGAGAGACCAGAGAGAGACCAGGGAGGGAGACCAGAGAGAGACCAGAGAGAGAGACAAGAGAGAGAGACAAGAGAGAGACCAGAGAGAGACCAGAGAGAGAGACAAGAGAGAGAGACAAGAGAGAGACCAGAGAGAGAGACCAGAGAGAGACCAGAGAGAGAGACCAGAGAGAGACCAGAGAGAGAGACCAGAGAGAGACCAGAGAGAGACCAGAGACATCTTCGTGGAGCAATAAAAACATTTTTTTCACAGGGGAAACTTCCCAAACGACAGATCAGTGCGTCACCCCCCACACCGACCTCAGAGCTTCACTCACCCAAACACAGCTCCACGGCTCGTCACGCTCTCGTTATGGAACCTAATCTCCCTGGTGTGTGTGTTTAGTTTTCACCTGCGTCTGGGAGAAGCGTGTGATCTCGTCGAAGCGGTTTTCTCCTCGTGCGATGATGAGGCGCCCGAGTCTCGGAGGCCGGATCAGCGAGAAGCCGATCTCGTTCCCGTCGTCGCTGGTCTCTGCTCCCAGGTTGGAGCTGGTGATGGTCTGACGAGTCCCTGTCAATCACACACACTTTCAGTCACTGGGACAAGGATTTATGGTTCATCTTTCTGGTAAGACTGTTTAATGTTTAATTTGTTTGCCTTGATTACACACTGGTCTCTTTGGTTTCTCTCTGGGAGCACAGAGAGAGACAAGACAGAGAGAGACCAGAGAAAGACTAGAGAAACCATAGAGAGGGACTAGAGAGAGACAGGAGAGAGTGAGAGACCAGACAGAGATGAGCGAGAGACAAGAGAGAGACAACAGAAAGAGAGACCAGAGAGAGCAACTGGAGAGAGAGACCAGAGAGAAAGAGATGAGAGAGAGACCAGAGAAAGACCAGAGAGAGACAAGAGA